GTGAGAGCAAAGATTTGTTAGAAAAGATTTATATTTTGTTTAAACGCTGTTCTTTTTAACTTTTGATTCATCACAGAATCCTGAAAATAGTAAAATATTTGGCAGCACAACTGTTGATAATTCTAATAATAAATCAGCATATTAGAATGATTTCTGAAGATTATGTGACACTTTATACTGGAGTAATGATGATGGAAATTCAGCTTTGCATCACAGAAATAAATTATATTTTAAAGGATATTAAAATAGAAACCATTCTTTTATATTGTAATAACATTTTGCAAGATTACTGTTTTTTTCTGTATTTTTGGTCAAATAAATGCATCCTTGATGAGCAGAAGAGACTTCTTTAAAAAAAATTACAAGTCTTACTAATCCCAAACTTTTGACCGGTAGTGTGTATATATATATATATATATATATATATAACTAATTAAAAAATTACTAAAACGTTAACTAAAATGAAAATGTAAAAAAAAAAGAAAAATGTTAATACAAACTATAATAGGACATCAGTGATTCTAAAATAATACTGGGTTACATGACATGCAGGTAAACAAATAAAATGTTTATTGTATAAATATATATTATATAAAAGTAAACACTAAATGTATTATTTATATCTTATGTTTTATTTGGTTTTTATTTAAAAATATTTATTAAAATTTTAAATTTTTATGATTTAACTAATTGTTAGCTTTTCATTAGCTCATGAACTGCACTAACCCCAGTTTGAGAAACCCTGGCATACTGCATACTACATACTGCTGTGGACTGAACTGAGTTTTACCATTTATACTACAGTAGATATATTATTGGGAGAGACTGCTGAGCGAGATTACCAACGCAACGATAACCAAAAACAGGCTGTTTAATTGTTCAGGTCAGAGAGAGGGTGTAAAATGGGCTTGAGAAACTGAATTTTGAACTTTCGAGCAGATATATCTATATGATACACATTCACATCATGTGTGTGTCCTTCTGCAGGCCCACAGAGATGAGATCCAACGCAAGTTTGACGCACTGAGGGACAGCTGCTCGGTAAGTGTGTGCTGATCTACGCTAAGATTTCCCACAATCCCCTGCACTGCTCTGGAGGGTTGAATATGATGGTTCAGACTTAATACTTTTACCTACTTCACTTTACTGTTTTCAGACTTGAACAGACAATACGATTGAACTTGACTCTCGACCTCGTTTTCATTCGCATTTTAATGCTTTTGTTAGTCTATCCAGTTGAAGCCACTAGATGCGGCGCTGCTACGTTGTTCATTCAAAAAATTGCAGAAAGAGAGAATAATCAATGTGGAGATAATGTTGTTTACGTCAAAACCGAAACCAAGCCGTTCACACAGAACGCATATTTAGCGCATTTTCTAGGGGGACATCTATCACCATTGCATTCGCGTCTCGCACAAGAGAGCCGCATGTTTAGAAAGCCATGTAAAATTAATGCAAGTTACACTTTTAAAAAACATGTCTGAAGACTTCATGGCGGTTTTCCCCCATCCTACCACATCTCAAGTTTTTAAATGAAGAACGTACTCTGTGATTGGTTTTCGGTCCTTTGTATTAAACTATACATGCATGGGTGATGCTGTTTTGTTTCTAATTGTTTAAAGGGGTCCTATTATGCTTTTTCACTTTTTCAACTTCACTTTTAAAAAACATGTCTGAAGACTTCATGGCGGTTTTCCCCCATCCTACCACATCTCAAGTTTTTAAATGAAGAACGTACTCTGTGATTGGTTTTCGGTCCTTTGTATTAAACTATACATGCATGGGTGATGCTGTTTTGTTTCTAATTGTTTAAAGGGGTCCTATTATGCTTTTTCACTTTTTCAACTTTAGTTAGTCTGTAATGTTGCTTTTTGAGCATAAAAAAGATCTGCAAAGTTACAAAGCTCAAAGTCCACTTCAAAAGGAGATATTTTATGTAATATATAGATATTTTTTACTACAACGAACGACTCATTTGGACTACAATGCATATTTTCCGGGATTTTTGATATCACAAATATCGACGAATGGGACGAGACCTGGTTGAGCTGCACTAGAGAAGGCAACGAGTGTTATCACTATGTCGGAGACACGCTAGCTTTCCCAAGGCAGACGAACTTAGAGTGATTACAATCATCCATGTTTAAATCTCGCTCAAATTGATTTGATTTTGATGCAATGTTTACACTAAAGCTAGCAGGCGGATATGGTAAGGGGCATGACATTTCCTGACCAGACGCCGAGTGGTGCCAATCACAGCACACACTGGCCCAGCTAACCGATCACAGCACACTGGCACAGCTAACCAATCACAGCACACACTGGCCCAGCTAACCGATCACAGCACACACTGGCCCAGCTAACCGATCACAGCACACACTGGCCCAGCTAACCGATCACAACACACACTGGCACAGCTAACCGATCACAGCACCCACATTTCAGAAGGCGGGCCTTCATTTGATTCAGGAACTACTCGAGCCGTTCATGCCAGACTGGTGAGAGAGGTGTTGTAATAATGTAAAATATGTGAAAAATAATGTGTTTTTCGTACAACCTAGTATAAGAGCCTGTTCTAGTACACCCCTAAAACAAAATCAAGACTTTGTAAAAGAGCATAATAGGACCCCTTTAAGCAATTTTAATTATATAAGGTTTATACAAATTATTTTAAACATTATGCACTTTTTTCAAAGATAGTCGTGTTATTTTATTATGCTTTGAAGAAACGTGCATTAGTAATATTTTGCTCGATGCGCCCTCTTGTGCCCAAAAGCTTTTTTTCCCCCCTAACTGAAATTATGCCTTTTAAATTCAAATATAATTCGAATATTGATAATATTTAAGTACAAAATTCGAATTTAGTTTTTCAGCCATTTTGACAGCCCTAGTGTGTTGTGCTTGCCAGCAGGATTTCAACCTCCACGTTTAGCTTGAGGATCCTCAGGGATCGGATAGAGAGCTCAGAGAGAAATTATTGATTCAAACAGCCGCTATCATCTTCTCTTGGCCGTGAGTCCGAGTGGCACACGACAGAATCGATGTACACTGCAGTCACCTTAATGCCTCATTTATCCCTGATCACAGACCCCAGATCAGAACCTCTCCATCTGCAGCCGTTCACTCATAACTTCAGCCTTATGTATCTCATGGGCTTGTAGTTATGATTTAATTTAAGGAAGTCCAAATCTGTTCACGGTATATTTACGATATGTTTTTAACCTCAGGTCTTTTTCAGAGTCACAATTATGAATCGGAAGATCTTTTGATGTCATTTAAAAATGAACTATATATTTAAAATCAAATAAAAGCTACAGCTATATAGTTATAACCGACATGCACTTTGCAGCTGAATGTAGGTGAATTAAAGTGAAAGTGAATGTAGTGAAGTCATCGGAAACAAACCCGCACGGGGATTTATTTTGCTTTTATGAGCTTTGCCATAAGAGTAACGAATTTCCATGTGAAAAATGCACACTTTTTGCATTCTGACGGTTGTCGTCTTGTATCTATCATCTATATGATAATTACAGTGCATAATTAATGCAGCATATCTGCCAGAGATGATGACGCTGTAATATTTGCATGCTGCGTGCTCTTGGCAGTGTTGCTTTCAGTCTAATTTTAAGTTAAGAGTGACTATAAGTGTATTAAATATTTAGTTACTTATATAGTTACATAAATCTTATATATAGAATATATCATTTTATATACATATGTATTAAAAAAAAATATATATATATATATATAATATAAATGTGCACTATATATTTGTATGTATATTTAAATATATATACTGTAATATTTAAATATAAATATTTACATATACATATTATTATTATTATTATGTTTTTTCTTTTATATATATATATATTTAATATATATAATATAAATGTTTATATTTGTATGCATAATATTTAAATATATACTGTAATATGTAAATATATTTATATTTTTTCTTTTAATATTATTTTTATTTCTTTAAATAAATGTGTATGTACATTATATATATATAATATATATATATGTGTGTTTTTCTTTAAAATTATATAAAAAGTATATACAATATGTATATAACTATAAACTTGGCTAAATATTTGTATGCTCAGTGCCTCTTAAATGTAGTTTTCTGAAGTCTTAAGTCAAAAATAACACTTGTATTTGTTTGTTGAATCATGATTATCTTATGTTTGATTAAATTAGGTTTATAAATCTCAATCTCTATTCTACATGCTCTCTGTCTATTTAAGTTTAAATCTTTTCAAACTATTTTTTTTATAAAACCCTGCCATGTGAGCCCTTATATTTTCATATTTCCATCTTTTTCACCGCAGCGTTCATGAATCTGGAATATTCCAGCAGTGTCAGAATACAGAGTGATTGCGGTAGAATTCATGCGTATTGATTAGGATGCTGCTGCTGCTGAATGACGTGAGTGTCGTCACAGGTGATCACGGACCTGGAGGAGCAGCTGACCCAGCTGACCCAGGAGAACGCCGAGCTGAACCGGCAGAACTTCTACCTGTCCAAGCAGCTGGACGAGCTGACGGTGGAGAGCGAGGAGCGACTGCAGCTCAGTCAAGACGTGGACCGTCTGCGCAGAGAGGTGGCCGACCGAGAGATGCACCTCAACAACCAGAAACAGGTGCGCAAACACGTCTGCTCATCCTCTGCACACTCAAACCACTTTAGATTAACTCCATATGTGGAGCCAATCCAGTTCTCTATGCAGTCACGGTTCTTTAAAAGTGGATTTGCATCAGTTTCTGGTTTGTTTTAGTTGGTCTTAGTTCACTTTCCATTCAACACACTGTTGAAACCCGTTAAATAGGGCCCTATGAAATGCGTTTGATTTTTTTCCCAAAATTCCATTTTATTAGATTTTTTGGTCAAATTCCATTTTTTTCCCCGTTGAAATGTTTCAGGATTCCGTTTTTATATTTTTTTGGACTCCATTTTAATGGTTAAATTAAAGTTTAAATAATCAAAAAGCATGTCTTGTACAATTTAACAGCAAGTTATTAAAAGTTAAAAAAAATTTAATTCTTTAGGGGCCCCTATGAAATGCTTTTTTAATGAAATACTTTATTTTATGATTCTTTTTTATTTTTTTTGTAATCAAATGAAAGCATAAAACATTAATTACATTTTTCTTGTAATCCAATGAAAATTAAACCCTTTAAATGTTTTGGGCAAACAAGGTGCTGGACAAAATTGTGTGATATTCCTTAAAAATTTACGTTTTTTAATAATACTTTTATTAGTAGTAGTATTACATTAAAATGTACATCCTACTGTACAAGAGTAATATATTTCAGTCACAATTTCTTCAACAAAATGAAAAAAAAAAAAAATGTAATACTGTATAAATTAATATTAATATTTTATTAAATATTTTTTTAAAGTAGACAATGTTAAAAAATGTCATGTTTTTTTGTCAAGGTTTGATCATCAGGCTTTTATGGCTCATATAGTCTGATACAGTGAGAATTCAGCTTGAGACTCAAAAATATGAATCTGTTGCAGATGCTGATATTTATATGATGAAATTCTGATGCTTGTAATGTAAATCAATTAGATCTTTCTAACAGTACAGCAGATACTGACATAAAATGATCTAAATATCAATCATCACTCTATATCTCCAGTAATCTGTCTCAGTGAGATGAGAGTGAAATGCTCCAAACATATAATGCAGTGATTGAGAGCTGAAGAAATAAAGGCTCCTCAGAAGATGTGAGATGTTCTGGAGGCTTGTGAAGATCATTCCACCGCTGAGGAACAGTGAAAGTAAAGCTTCTGGAAACAAACGCTCCTCAAAAGATCCTGAGGATCAGATTTGAGACTCTAAAACATGATTGATGGAGAATCAAGTAAAGCTGAGCTGCTTCAGTCCAGTAAGAGTTCATCTGGAGATATTACTGCGGTTATTCTGACATTTACTTGATGAAAAATCAGTCAAGATTTGACTCGAGAAGCTCCAGCTGAAGCTGGACGCTCGTACTATACTGAGGCATGCTTTTGTGTTTGCAGAACATCGAGACTCTGAAGACCACATGCAGCATGCTGGAGGAGCAGGTGGTGGAGCTGGAGAGTCTGAACGATGAGCTGCTGGAGAAGGAGAGACAGTGGGAGAACTGGAGATCTGCTCTGGAGGACGAGAAGAGCCATGCGGAGCGCAGAACCCGAGACATGCAGAGACTGCTGGACAACGAGAAGCAGAACAGGTGCACAGACTCGCATGTCCACGCAAACATAAGCCTCAGTTATTTACTTATTACTTATTTCCGTACAGGAACGCTTAGGATTGCTTAAGAGAAATACAGTATGTGTCCCTGCAGCACAAAAGCAGTGTTAAGTCGCTGGGGAAAGATTATTTATTCAGCTTCAGATGATGCATAAATCTCAATTTCAAAAAATTGACCCTTATGACTGGTTTTGTGCTCCAGGGTCACATATTTGAGTGAGTCTTATCTTGTTTAAAGGAACTTTTCAGTCTCCTAAGATGATTTTAAAGAAATGAAAAATATTTTAAATGAAGCATAATTTTGACAATTTTAAAATAAGTTAATGCTTTTATTCATCAAGGACGCATTGAATTGATGAAAAGTGCCAGTAAAGACATTTATAATGTTGAAAAAGATGTATATTTCAAATAAACTCTTCTCTTCATCTGTGAATCCTGAAAAATAAAATGTATCACCGTTTCCACAAAAATATTGTGCTGTTTTGAACATTGATAATAATCTGAAATGTTTCTTGAGCAGCAGATCAGCATATTATACTGATTTCTGAAGATCATGTGACACTGAAGACTGGAGGAATGATGCTGAAAATACAGCTGCGCATCACAGAAATAACTTACAGTTTAACAGATATTCACATAGAAAACAGATATTTTACATTCTAATAATATTTAACAATTTTTAGTGCATTTTTGATCAAATAAATACAGCCTTGATGAGCAGAAAAAAAAACTTTTGAATGTGTAAATAATTTTTATATGCAAATATTCTTATTTTCTCATTAATTGGATGTCCCAGGTTGCGAGCGGATCAGCGCAGTACAGAGTCTCGGCAGGCGGTTGAGCTGGCGGTCCGCGAGCACAAGGCAGAGATCGTGGCTTTGCAGCAGGCGCTGAAAGAGCAGAGACTGAAAGCAGAAAGTCTGTCTGATACTGTGAGTTACACAAACACACTCGCAACAGTTTGCACCGGCCCTCCGTCTGCGATATTAATATTCATGCCATTATGGAATTTAACAAGCCGTGATTGAGCGCTACAGCTGATGGAGATTAATTAAACACTGCTCTGCACATCAGCTGAACACTGTGAAGAACAAAGCCTTCTGTTTGCTGTGGTGTATGTGCTGTTTATTGTGTCGTGGTGCTGTTTTCAGCTCAATGACCTGGAGAAGAAACATGCCATGCTGGAGATGAACGCAAGGAGCCTTCAGCAGAAACTCGAGACGGAGAGAGAACTCAAACAAAGACTCATGGAAGAGGTGAAAAACACACTTGTGTATCTGTGTGGAGACCAGCTGTAGACTCTAATTATTCTCAAACAAACATATATTATATGCAGTATATATGCAAAAATGAAATTTATTTATTTATGCATGGACTTTAAATGTTCTTAAATTATAATTACAGGCACTAATGTAATATAATGTAATATATAGTGCTGTCAAACGATTAATTGTGATTAATCGCATCCAAAATAAAAGTTTTTGTTTACATGATATATATGTGTGTGTGTGTGCTGTGAATATTTATTATGTATATATAAATACAAAAACATGCATGTATATATTTAAGAAAAATATGTTATGTTTATATATTAGATATATTTATGTAATATAAATTATATGAATATAAATATATACATGTAAATATTTTCCAAATATATACTGTATGTGTGTGACTTTATATATACATAATATACACAGTACACGCATATATTATGTAAACAAAAACTTATATTTTGGATGCGATTAATTGCGATTAATCATTTGACAGCACTATAGTTTTTGTTTACATGATATATATGTGTGTGTGTGTGCTGTGAATATTTATTATGTATATATAAATACAAAAACATGCATGTATATATTTAAGAAAAATATGTTATGTTTATATATTAGATATATTTATGTAATATAAATTATATGAATATAAATATATACATGTAAATATTTTCCAAATATATACTGTATGTGTGTGACTTTATATATACATAATATACACAGTTACACAGTACATTATGTAAACAAAAACTTATATTTTGGATGCGATTAATTGCGATTAATCATTTGACAGCACTATATATATATATATATATGATATATATATATATATATAAAATCAGAAAATTGAAAAAAAAATGTATTTAAGCATACATATTACATGCAGTATATATGCAAAAAATATATAAATATTTATTTATTTTGGCATGGACTTTAAATGTTCTTAAATTATAATTACAGGCACTAATGTAATATAATATTGTAAATTATTATGTAATAAAATAAAATAAGAAAAATGCCCCAAAAAATTTAAACCTACATTAAATGCAGTATGTATGCAAAAAATTAATTAATTTTTTGTTTATTGCATTATTAGACATTTACACCTGGCTATTCTTTAAGTCTCTTTTGTCCCAATTTACTCGTGCTATTAACATCTGTGAAGGTGAACAGATATTTTAGGTTTGCACTGTAAACATTAATGCGTCCCAGACCACAGTGAAGGCCCATCTGCTCATCACAATCACTGCAGAAACAAGCGTTTCAACATCACTAGACATGTTGATAAATTTGTCCGGTTGAAACGGAGAGAAAACAAACATAAACACAAGATATCGCAGAAGACTTTCAGCATCTCTGATATCAACATTTGACTACAGCTTCTCCACTAACACAACAATGATATCAGAGCTTTCTTTGCCTATGACAAAGTGAGGGATTTATGTTGTCATGAAATCAGAGACCTTCCCCTTGAACTACTCATCTGAAGGGTCACAGGACACTCTTTTTCTGGCTGACGGATGAATGTGTGTGTGTGTGTGTGTGTCAGCAAGGGAAGCTGCAGCAGCAGATGGACCTGCAGAAGACACACATCTTCAGACTGACGCAGGGCCTGCAGGACGCGCTGGACCAGACCGACCTGCTGAAGACCGAGAGAACCGACCTCGAGTACCAGCTGGAGAACATCCAGGTCTGAACACACACACACACACACACTCACTCACTCTCACACACACACACACACACACACACTCTCGCACACACTCTCACACACACACACACTCACGCACACACACACTCTCACACACACACTCACTCACTCACTCACACACACTCACTCTCTCACACACACACACACACACACACACTCTCGCACACACTCTCACACACACACACACTCACGCACACACACACTCTCACACACACACTCACTCACTCACTCACACACACTCACTCTCTCACACACACACACACACACACACACTCTCGCACACACTCTCACACACACACACACTCACGCACACACACACTCTCACACACACACTCACTCACTCACTCACACACACTCACTCTCTCACACACACACACACACACACACACTCTCGCACACACTCTCACACACACACACACTCACACACACACACACTCTCACACACTCACTCACTCACTCACACACACACACACACGCACTCTCTCACTCAAACACACTCTCACTCTAACTCACACACACACTCTCTCACACACACTCTCGCACACACACATACACACTCTCGCACACACTCTCACACACACACACACTCACGCACACACACACTCTCACACACACACACTCACTCACTCACTC